GCTTTATTTGGTACATTTTTTCTCTTTTACGGAAATAAAACAAAAGTTTCCTTTTTTGAGAACAGCGCTTGGACAATGACGAAGGCTCTGTGTCTCAATGCTATAGCACCTGAAGCCTTTTATAGTTTCTTTTGGCTGTTATACTTTTATCATGATTTTCCAAAAAATGTAAGCGAAATTTCTGGGCAATATTTTTACGATCAGACATTTTGCATAAAACGCTTAGTCTTAAGGCGCCCTTTTAAAATGACTTAACAACGGGGCAGGGTGCTACAACGGGTATAACGTTTGGATACTTTTAGTCAATACCACACAAGTGAGGCTGAAGTTTTATTGCATTCGTTTTTTAATCATACCTTATCTGTTATCGAGACAATCGTTGAAAATCGCAAAACACGAGGAAATCGAGTAACTAATGTAGATCAGTTCAGTTTTGCACTAAATACCAGATAACTCCAAGTAAAAACTTGCAAGAGGTGACAGGCCGCACATCTTCACCGGCGTGAAACCTTTGAAACCTTTTACATATTGCTCCATTGAGGAGACCTCCTCTTTCAGGGGATCTTACAGTTTAAAATTTGAACGATGATATCGCCTCTATATTGCGGACCAAGATACGGCTCGGTACAGTTTATGTTCAGTAAGGGAAAATTGTGTAAGTGGAGCAGAACCTTTTAAATGTTAAACAGACAATTTATTCAGTTCGCGCGTATTCCTGTTAAATTTGTAGGCCGTTTATGAGATATGTCTACTCAAAAATATAATAATTTTTCCATAACTGCTGTTATCTGAGAGTAACTGCTTTTAATATCTCCGTAAAGTATAGGTTTACGCGATCTCAGAGAACAATGTTTAGCTGTACACAGCACGTAGTCTTTTTAAAAATATATCCAGATTTGACACTGGTTTTGGGTATTTATCACGTCTAAGCATGATTTAAATACATTATGATGCTGTGTCCTTTGAATGTCAATCGCTTTGTAAATGTCACTTGTAGTTTTAATATCGGAGGAGAGTATTTTAAAGCTCAATTTTTTTCAATACCATTAGCATGTTGTTTTTTTACCAATCAATTGACTGGCTTCTTTGTGCCACTACATAATCTGTGTAGTTAAATATAAGTTTACAAGCAAGACCGGCGGTTTCGAATCTTATGATTCCCATCAGTTGCTATGTGGTGGGATGGTTGAGGTGAACTCTGAACCATTCCGTATTGCTTGATTTAGTAAGCGTTTATACATCCACCCTGGTTTGTTTGGAGGATCGAAAATGGTGCGGTTTGATTGGTTCCTTGCAAAAAACCAATCAGGTTGCTGTAGGTTCGATCCGTGTTTTCTCAAAGCTAGGTTGTGTTTTTATAAAGGTTTAAATTTGAAAAATAGGTGTCTTGCCTTGCTTTTTGTAAAGTATAAAAACTTCTTCTTAAAATGTTTAATGATGTATAAATGTTCCTCAAAATGGCGAGGGACTATGTTGTATATTTTCGTTTCAATTTAAAGCAAGGCTTGCGTTGACTATACAGTTGTGTGCTGTACAGAATGTAGACAAGATTATTTTTTACTGGCACAGCATGCACCGTATGGCGTGAGTAACTGTAACGGATGACAGACTGCACATGTATAACGGCGTCAAACCTTGAGTTAACCGTTAATGTTTTGTCATTTGTAAGTTAGAGCTCTGAGTTGTTTTTATAAAAAGGTTGAAATAATAGATTTTGGGACTTTGTCAAACCTTTCATTCAAATAAAGAATTTTTCATGAAAACAAAACAATTTCTTAGTTCGCTCGAAATGTGTTGTTTCAATTGTTTTCATTTAAAGGTTGATTTTTCTGTACAGTGGTGTACTGCCCTTGAACAGGTTTCTTTGACGTATCTACACAACTTCTATCACTGATCTAGTAATAGTCCCGCCCATCTTGCTAGCAAGTTCTTTTCGCAATTTTAACTAAAAAGATTTAAAGAAAAATGCTTGGTGTGAAAAGATTGAGTAACAAATATGGCAAAAATTGCAAAAATAACAAATTTAACAAAATTCTAGACTTAGAAAGAAGAAAGGCCTAGAAGGACTTCGAGAAGTCCGCAAATTTCGCAAAGATTGCAAAATTAACAAGAATTTTTCTTGCTATGTGAAATGATTAAGACAATGAAGGGCCAAGAGAAGGCCTCAAATTTTCCCATAAATCGAAAAAAAAAAAGAATTTGTGAAAAGAATTCACCTTCTTGGCCTTTTCTCTCTCTAAGTCTAGAATTTATTTAGTTTTTTTATTCTTGCTTTTGCGATATTTCAAGTACTCAATCTCTTCACATAGCAAGAAAAATCCTTGTTAGTTTTGCGATTTTTGCGAGATTTGAGGGCTTTTGGAGGCCCTTCTTGGCCATTTTTCTTTGTAAGTCTAGAATTTTTTAAATTTGTCATTCTTGCTATTTTTGCGATATTTCTTACCTTTTCAGTGTTTTTAGGTAGCAGGAAAAATCCTTGTTACTTTTGCGATTTTTCTCTAAGTCTAGAATTTTGTTTTATTGGTTTTTCTACTCATGCGATATTTGCAGGTGATTGTCTCGCCAAATTTTCGGTGAATTATTTTCTTTGCGAAAATTGCGGAGAGAATTTGCTAACAAGATCGTTCCTGGACACATATATCGCATTTTTTTTTGTTTTACAGTTCTTTACGCACTGCCACGCCATACCATACAAACCGTCAAACAAGGCCGCGGGGGAAGTTAAACATTACCACAATCTGGTACTGACTGATCCCGGCGTCCTAGGCATCTCAATAGCAAGTGCGCTTTAACTCTGACAAGTGTGCATGTGACGTATTACGTCTACACACATTCCTAGATATCTTGAGGTAATAGGTAACAGAGTAACAAGGTAACGAAGCAACAAGGTAACAGACTAACGAGGTAAAACGAAGGTAACAAGGAAACAGAGTAACAAGGTAACAGACTAACAGATTAACAAAGTAACAAGGGAACAAGGTAACAGAGTAACACGGTAACAAGGTAACAGAGTAACAAGGTAACAAGGCAACAGAGACTAGAAGCATTTACTTAGTTACCATAAAATGTTTCTTTTTTCCTAAGAGCTTGTTTGGAAAAACTATGAGAAACTAGACTACAGCACAGTCCGTATTTTTGCGTATTCAAGTCCGGGCGAGCAGTCAAGCAAATGGTCTGGAACGAGGCTGAAAACAGTCGGAGCGAGACTGGGGAGAGACGCTAAACACTCCCTACTGGCTTCGCGCGCACAGGACTCTTTACCGATTTCTCTACTCATTTTGCGAAAAAAAACCGACTGTTTTGCAGTCTAATGAGAAACGGAGCGTGGAGTGAGGCGGGGTCCGCACGGGATGGGATGAGCGGATCATTGGGACGAATCTTTTCTGCAAAAAAAAGGATGCATGAAAGAAGAATAGAAGTCAGGGACTATCTACATGTTGATCTATAGGGCCATCTAACAGACTAAAATCAGACAAGCTTCTTATATTATGAAATTAAATGTACGTGTAGTTCGAATAATTAAAAATGCGTAACGTTTCACGTTTGCTTTATTGAGTTAAGACGCTACAAGCGATACTACACATGGAATAGTTGAGCGTTTTTTGCTCACTTTTTAACTTTACGAAAGTCTTTTTCTTTGTATAAAATAGAGATGGCGAAAGAAGCAAAGTTTAGTCTTTACAAGGGAATCATGGTATTAAATTACCTCCATCAAACTTTTTCGCAATAGAACTTGAAAATATCTCCACGGCAAGCACCACTCCCTCGAGACGGAAGCGCGCTTTCACCTCCTTCATTGGAACATAAAATGCCAAGTGCCGATGTTTTTAAAATGACGTGACATTTTATATCTAAGAAAACCTTTCACCACCCCCTTCATAATTTACAGCTATACACTATGACTGACATTGCGGAATATAAGGTCTTCACCAAAAAAATAACGGAAAACTTCCACCACTGTCTCTGATACCCTACTCTGCCTACACAAACTTCCGGCCTAGCTTCTACGAGAACAAACAATTATCACTTTCCGTAACTTCGCGGTGTCAGTTTTAAATCGATGCGATATTAGTATGATTGCAAACCAATGTTAAAAATTTTGATGCATATATTAACATCAATGAATCATTGCTGCCACGCAAAAATAACGATAAAGGCGATTTTTTAGTTTTACAACTAAAAGAAATAACAGTAAAATCTTTCGGCTAGGACTAAAACGAAGATTTTCCTCTCAGTAAAGTACGGGCAAGCATTACCAAGGCTCTTATAGCAACAATGCTGCAAAGATATATTTATTGTAGGTATTTTCATATGCAGCATTGAACTCTAGCGATAGTTGGGACCCATAATAACCGCTCCCCGCTCATGTAGAAAAGTCTCATTCTCCAGTGCACCCACCAAAGCGTCAGCGAGTCACGAAATTTTCTTCTCAATTTTTTTTCTATAAAACATATGTATCAAACAGACACCTCTTTTGAACAAACATCTTGCGAGGCTCCCTTTTAAGCCCTAATATCAAAATTTATAATCTCATTTGTTGTCCCTGTACATTTCAGTCCTGTAGATGAAGTGGGGACAAGAAGTTGTCAAACTGTGTCAAAGAATTCAACTTGTTTCCGCCTTCGTTACCACACTGTTTTCTGACGCTTTGACATTAAAAGGAGAATTTTGTTGCTAATCATCCTCAACGCTTTTAAAAAGGGTTTAGATATAGGTTTGTGTTAAATTGTCATTATTAAAGAACTATTACGGTAGATTGGTAAAAAAACTGAAAAACATTAAAAAAATAATACTTAAATATCTAAGACCTAACGCGAAGTTAAGAGCTATATATTTCAGTACACTAACATTTCTTTATAAAAATTACTGCAATAACTGAATAATTGAAGCTTGCTTTTGCGGTTTTTCTATTTTGGCTGTATTTTGATTTAAAAAGAGCCAAAATCATTTTATGGTGTTTTTACATCCTAGACGTTGTGATTCCTTATAAAGAAAAATGTTTAGATGTTTTTATGAATCTCGATCTTAATCATCACTGTATCATATTTTAAGTACTGTGGGGAGCAAACCAGGGCTGTGGGCGCAAACTCTGCGTAGCCATACAGGGTGCTGTATCGCCCGGCAGCAGTGGGTTCCTGAAAAGCACCCAGATTTCTATTCGCCACGAAAGTGTCACTGATATCATGGCGGAAGCCATTAGCATCAGTGCTTTGATCCTTGATGGTGAGAACGATTCGTCCAGAAAAGGGCCACTCCAGAATAGTATCGTATTCTCCCTGCATCATGCCAACAAAAAGGCCAATGTGACGTCCGTCCCCACCGTTAATGCCTTTCGGGAAGAAATGCATGGAGAACTTGTACTCTTGTTGGCTTGAGTAAATCGGAGGGCTCTCGAGTGATGTTATTTTTCCATCTCTAGCATCCTGGAGGTGATGAGAGAAACCTACTATCTTCCAAATATACTTTCCACCACAGTTCTGACCTAAAGACGACATCGGCTCTGGGGGACTTGACCTATGGAAATAAAAACAGCCTTATCATTACGTCAGTTATTTTTTGAAAACTGTTGAAATTGGTTAGACTGAACGTCTTTTAAATCTGTCAAAAAGGATTTGAAACGGTGATTAACAAACAATGTATATATGAACATATAGAACTGCAGGATAAAGTCAATAAAAAATTAAATGCAGAACATCACAGCAGTAAGAAGGAACCTTTACAACGCAGTCGTAAAATTCAGGCCTGTAAGACCTCGAAACCTTGAACCTCAGCAATACCATGACCGGTGCAGCGCGCGCAGTCTAACCCTGAATTGAGCTTACAAATTAGCCAAGGGGGCTGGTCTGATTTGGTTCAGTGGTTTGTTGTAAACCCATGGAAGATGAAGATAAAATAATGAATATATAAAAAACATCTATAATACAACTCGAAGGATAACTAGAAGTAACTGAGTGGATCATCGAAGTTATAGAAGCAACTCAGTTTGAGAAAAACAAGATTTTTCCAGTAGCTAGGCTGAATCGTAATCTGACCATTCAGCGATTTGGATCACCCCTATTTGGTGGCCGATAAGTCAGTAACTCGGCAATTCCACCATATTGTTTTCACTGAACAACGTACGTATAGCCTTAGTTTCAGTTGCGTTACGGTGTGGCTATGAGAGGCCTCGAGCGACCTGGGGCTCGTTTCTCAAAAGCCCCGAATTCAAACAACCTCATCCCCAATCCTCCTAACGGCTTTTCCCTTTGAAGGGGTAAAAGCCCTGGGACGAGGTTAAAACTCATATACTCAAATGAAAATCTAAAGAACAAGAGCGTGGTTCCTGGCTAACAAAGGAAACCAGTCTCTTTCTTAAATGTAAACAACAACAACTTTCCGGGCCCGTTAATCATGACGTGACGGTCGATAAACGGACCGACTCTCCCCTCTCTGTAGTTCACTTTATTAGATTATACATGGTACCTAGTTTGTAGGAGTGCTCCTTGCCATATACCACTGCTTATTTGGAGTAACAGAATCAGATTGTTCGGACGCTGTTTGCGCCGTTAGTGTACTAACCTGCTTACTGTTATTTGCCTTGGAAGAGAAAATGTACCCATGCGTTCATCTTCTTGGGCCTGCCCATGAAATTGGTTTGTCTCCTCGACAGAGTACCTAGTTCCATCCTGACAGCCATGGGGTCTGGTCCTCTCGTTGATCTGCAGTCTCACTCCTCTGTCCAGCTGAAGATGTGGTCGCATCTCGTAAGCGTCATACCGCATGCGGTAAACCTCCACAGACAGCTCCATTAGGAGATTAGGATATCTTGAATCAGAAGATAGGAAAGATGGGGGAGAGTCAGTAAAAGAAAATTAGAATGTGTAATATACATTCTAATTTTATTATTGTTCATAGACAGCTGCCTATTTGTAAACAGGTTTACCTTCTTATATTTTCTTTATGTTTGATATCGATTTTATCAGTTAAGTCTTTTCATTGATTTTTTTCAGTGATTCTGTATCAAAAGAAACTTGCACTGTCATTTTTACTATATCGACTGCAAATCGCTCCTGCTTTCAGAGCCCTTCGGGATTGTTCCGTAGATTGTTCCAAGCTCTACTTTTATCAGTGTTCTACTTCTTTTTATGATACAATCCTGGTGACATTAGAACTTGGGTTAATTGAAGGAATAACGTTGACATCTCGACCTCCTTTCCCCGTCCCTTTCAATGTTGGCCTCGAACTTGGACAATTCCACCGAAAACCCATTACAAAACAACATTGGAAGAGAGAAAGACAGAACAGTGTTACCCAAGTTGAGTATCCTTGATTGTTGGTCCCCAGGTTCTTTCATTTTATCCTGGTTTCAGAAACTGCTTGCCTTCTGATTGGCTAAGAGATTGTTGTGACTGCGAAAAAGCACGATAACTAAGTCACAACAATCTCTCAGCAAAGGGTTGGACTTGCAGACGAGGGAAATCACCCTAATGACGTCATAGGCCATTTGCACGATGACATCATTTTACTACTACGACCAGAATCCTTCAAGGTTTTGCTTTCTAGTGCTACTTAGGGCCTCTGTTATTCAAACCTCATGGGATTACAAAATTTAAATATGAAAGGAAAAACGAAAAGGATTCTGGTCATAGTAGTAAAATGACGTCATCGTGCAAACGGCCTATACAAAAGACTGAACAGTACACACAAGAAAAAACAATAGCTGACAAACAATAACCTATTCCACGAACGATAAATATACAACACTTGGAGTCGCAGCTCCAAAACGTAGGATTATTCGTGAAAAAAAGTCAAAATCTTTCTCATATCATTGTCACAAATGCGCGAATCCCTCGCCATTTCAGCGCCCCTAAGAACTCAAAGCCTATCGACTGTTCATGAACGTCAGAATATTTACTGGTCTGCTGAGAGAGGGAAGTGCTCGGAAACGAATGCTTATTACAAAAGGGCGAAAATGGTGAAGAGTCGGTCCACACCGTACATATACACGGCATGGCGACATAAGTTGCGTGATCCGCCTACCCTAACAATAGAGTAAGTAGATTAACGCTTTCTGATTGGTAGCAGCAGGGAATCAAATGCATGATTCAGACGTCCACCGGTTCTTTTTGGAGTAAAAATGTAATTTTACATTGTAAAATACTGTTTAAGGGAGAGCTGAAGGGAAAAGAAATTCGTCTTTGTTACTTTGTACCAAAACTTTTAAGTCAGCTCCTTTTAAAAGTCCACAACAGATACAATTTACAAGTCAACTGAGCGTAACCAGCCTTGGAACTGACCTTAACAGATCAAAGGTTTCTGATTGGTTCAAATGTACATAAATTAAAGCATTTACAAATGTAAACCAGAACGACTCATCACTGAGCTATAAAAACAGTTTACACTTTGGTGTCGTTAAATTTTAGTTTTAAAATAAGTGGACTTCCCTTTCGGGACTGAATAAGTGAAAGAAGACAAACGACTCATTTACTGTTTTCTACGAGAAACTGAAGCGGGTTCCACAACAGTTCTAACCTGAGATCAGGCTCAATTTTCGTTTCGCTTTGTGCCGTTAGAGAGAATGTTTAATAACCGGTAAAATTGGGCCTGATCTCAGGTTACAGCAGTTCCACATCGAGATTGACACTACCTCCGGCATTGATTTGCACTTCACAAAAACAAGCAGTAAATAAATAAAGTGCCTAGGGGTTCACGCAGATGAAAAGCTTAGCTGGGATTGTCATGTCGATACGATCTGTAAAAAGATTAGCGCGGGTATAGGAGCCATGCGGCGCATCAAAAATTTTGTTCCCGTAGTTACTCTGGAAACAGTTTGGCTACGGTCAGCGGTTTCCTTTAAAAAAAAAGGGCTTTGAGCCATTCCTGTAATTAACGGTTTCTAAAAGGGCTTAGTTCAGCCATATTTTGAGTATTTTTCTTCTTTGAGGGACACCTGCGGCAAATTATTGAAAGATAAGCTCTAACGATTTCAGTCACGTGCTGCTAGAGTTCTCGCAGGTGCTTGTTATGATATTCGCTTTGCAGACTTAATTGACTCTCTTTCTTGGCAAACACTTGATGATCGACGGCGCTGTGCAAAGTCTATTTTAATGTCATAAAATATTTTTAAAAATATTATTTAAAAATTACCACACCGCCCCCGGCATAAGGAACTCTTTTGTGAGACGGAATGTCAGTCAGACTAATTACCATCTACGTAACACGGCTACTGACCTAACACTTCCTAAACCGAAAAGAGAGCTTCTAAAAAGAAGTTTTAAATTTAGCGGTGCTATGCTTTGGACCCAGCCCCTGAATGGAGCAACAATGCTAGCAGAATCTATCAAAGCCTATTTCCAGGAGCGGCGGCCCTAATGTAGTTTATTCACGAGTGAACTAAAAAACAAGAATCGCTCGAACAAGAACTAAATTCTGACTAAAACTGAAAGGAAGAGATGCAAGAACAAGCGAAACATATTGCTCCAATGGATGTTATCTACTTTTTCAGGAGTATCTGTTTATATCCGATTCTGAAAGCATGACGAGAAACAGGCCAAAGTAAGTAGTAGTCTTCCCAACAATTTTGACGATGATTGTAGATACCTGTTTGAGGGCGACTGATTCATGCGCGTGACTTGTTTCCAATTGAATGACGCCAACAAATCGAAGCTTTTTGATTGGCTATAAATGTACATAATTTTTAAGAACTTCCTATGCAAGGGCTTATAGTATTCATCAACAATTGATCTAAACAGTTTCGCTTTGGTGTTGTTAAAATGCAGGTTAGAGTAAATGGACTTCCAGATTGGGAAATACATGAAAGTAGACAAACGACTCAATTATTTTCGACGAAATATTGAGGCGGGTTTCATGCAGAGTTGTTCCAAATCAAGGTCGACTCTACTTCCGGCATTATGCACAGCATGGTCATATGCGAAAAGAGCGGACGACGATCATTCCCTTTAAGAAGGGAATTTTTAAAAGTACACACAGGAGACACCTCGAAATATTGGTAGGTGTCTTGTTATCGTAAAGTTAAACCTAGCAGGGAACTTTTGAAACTTCCTTATCTCCATCTCGAACACATTTATAACATCGTGCGCGTATATTGGTAGACAAGCCACAAGTCGACCTCACAAGCTTCCCTTAAAGAACAAAGAGCAAGAAGAGGGAGCTTTTTAGGACGAAGGACTTTTTCGAAAATCTAGCATGTTGCCTGCGTAGTGATGAAGCATGTTAGGCGGGGGAAACCCATACATACAAGTTGTCCAAACAAATGTAAGCACAGACCTTCACCGAGTTATTTTAATGGAAAGAAAAATCAACTGCATACATGGAGACATCTAAGATGAGACAGGTTTAATACCTTAATTCTACCGATTTGTAGACAGCCTTTAGAGACGATTCGTCATAACTCGCCATGTGAATTATATAGATGTTTTGATAGCCAATTAAATGGGCAGTGTAGAAGTTTCTTGAACGTTTGCTCGGTCATTTAACCTGATTAATTTTAATAGATCGGTGAATATTGCAACAATCACTTTTTTATTGACCACTGGTAGAATTCAGCAAGTATCTGATAGCGCGAGAACCGTTTGTTTTAATTCCATCATATTTTAATTCTACAGCCTGTTATAACGGTAGTTTAATAGTGTGGGGAATAACTGAGAATAGTTGTAAAGAAAGTTGGCTGGAAGCACTTCCATGCACCCCTTTCATTGAAGTATGAATTTAACTGTTTTATTTCTCCGTTGACTCAATGGAAACTTTGAGACAAATTGGGTTTACTTGTTCATAAAGCACTTCCTTGCATGTTATTATACCAAAATAAAGAGTAAAAACCAGAAAAAGAGATGACTTCATTTATAAATTATACTGGTAATAATCTTAGTAAAACATTTTGTACTGTTTGCAATCCTTGCTTAATTTCTTCACTGCATCTGAGTCTGATCAGATACAGATGATATATTTTATTAGGAAGTAGCCTGATATTTCTTTGTTGCAAATCGTAGTCAAGGAAGGGATTCTTTAAGTTTAAAACACTGATTTGTATTGATCCATTGGTTTGCTTGCCATTGAAATTTTAGTCTATCTAGGCTGTATATAGAACTCATTTTATTGTAGTACATATTTTGCTGTTGGAGTTTTGATGAATTGTGTTAACGGGGACATTCAATCAGAAGTAGGGCGAAAACCGCCTCACACCGGGTCAATTGTGTCAGGGTGAGCTTTCATGACAGGACGGCAGAAATATGAGGATGGCAAAACGCTTGAGTATGGCAGACGTGACAGGGTTATTATTGAATGTTTTGTCGTGACCTTGTGCTAACAGTGCACGTTCGGTCTGTTACATAAAAGATCTGTTTAAAGGAACCTGAAGTTTGGCGGAAATTTTTTTCAAACAAATTATTGTCACGCGTATCACCAAGGTTTTGCCGTTTTCTTTCCTCTCATTTTCGAGCTAAAACGATCGCGACTCTGCATTTTCAACCAGAATGCTTTCCTCTACACTCTAATGCTTCTGGTCGTACAAGTGTCTTTTGATTACCCTGAGCTATGCTAAAAATATTTCATTGAACCTGTCTTTTCCTACATTTTTACAAGGTAGTTTGTAAACCCTATAGTATATTATGATGATATAAAGTGAATGAAAAAATGAAACAGCAGCGTGAGCAAAAAAGATGGTGAAAGCTAAAATCCGAGTTTTGCATTGTTTGAAAATCAAGTTTCAGAGAAGGAAAGAAACACAAAAACGAAACTTTGAGACCGGCTACAAACGATACGAAGTCTCCAAAAAACTTGCTGATACCGCCGATAAAGCCCACCCAAGAATCCATCCGAGTGCTTCTAGCTACATCGAAAACTTTTGCCATGCTGTCTTCTTGTTGATCAACAAATGTTCATGCGGACCACTAAGGAAACAGTATTTACGCGGTTTTACTAGCTAACTTTTGAAATGGACCAGTTTGCGAAGTTTCATCGAAACCGCTGGAAAAGATAGCTTTAAAATCAGCAAAGTTGCTAACTGTGAGAGTGGTTTGTTGACAACTGATGAAGATATGGTTCGGCAAAGTCACGAAATTGTGGATAAACGTAGCTGCAGTATGTCCCTTATGGGCCACGTTACTTCCGTCGAATAGCAATTTAAAATTTAGCCGGGCATTTGCGGAGCTATAGATTTGCCTTTTTCTAACAAATTACTCTCGAAACCTGGCAAGTTCAAATCAATTTTTTAAGGCACTCTTTTCAGAAGGTCGAAGCATGTTTTGTCTGTTGAGGCCCCTGTTTAAATTCCGACAAACAAAGTATGCGAAAGGTTTGAACCAGGGAGTCATTTATTAAGTAGGTTGAGTATGATCGTCCGGGTGAACGTAGTCCTGAATAGGACTGTTGTTGTTATAGTCACTGTCAACAACAATAGTCCTATTCAGGGCTACGTTCACCCGGACGATCATACTCAACCTACTTATAAAGTAAGTCAAGTCGTATGGAGTACATAAAGTTTACATATATACCTCGCGGCTAAAATCTTGTCGTCCGCTAGGATTTTTAGAAGAGTCACTTCAGTATTTCTGACATGTTTTTGCATTTTTAAAACAGGCAATTCACTAACATTGCAAAGATCTGCAAAAACACTTCTTCACTTCGTATGAACACAAGTTCAGTTTTCACCTACCGATGCCTCTGAGAGGTCGTCAAAGTAGCGACGCATAGCGGCGCATAGCCTTCTCTCGGTCGTCATACTTGTAACACCTCTGCAGCGTAACAGTTATAAAATGAACTTTTCTACGAATAAAGACAAAAAATAAGGCTTCGAAATATCGGAGAACTTTATCACACTTCTGCCTAAACCCACTGACTTCTCGGCTTGTTACCTTACACCGTACAAATCTGCACCTTCGATCGCGATCGCTCTCTTTCTGCATCAGGATGTCTCTTTCAATGCTCGGTCACCTATGTTCACTTAGTCTAATCTGCTGATTGGGTGAAGCAAACGTTCTTGCCTTTTGATTGGCTCATCAATGTGGCCACGTGGTCCGTCGGCGCGATTGCCACCATTTCCGGTTGCGGACGAATCTATTAATACCGCTCAATTGCCTTAAAAGGACAGCCCTCTATTGCCTATAAATTAAGGCAATTAGAGGGCTGACCTTTGTACCATATCCCCATTCTTAATTATTTGTGCTGTTTTTTACGGAGCCACATCGATGAACAATTCTCAAACTGTGCTACTGAGGTTTAAAAATAATATATGATCTGCGTACACTCCCGGGATACCTGAAGATTTAGTGAATTTATACAGGGTCTTCATCAAAATATGCGTAGTTTCGAGCACAGTTTGTTTTAAACCATAAGAAAAGATTTTATTTGGGACAATTGTTATCAATATTATTAATATTACTCTTACAAGACAGTATCTTTCAATTGCTGGGTTGCACCTGACGTCAAAGCGGCCATGTTGGACAACAAGAACAAAAGACTTTTTTCTCCTCTGGGAACTTAATTCTATTTTCATGCAAATCCCCTCAAAAAAAAGTCTTTTGTATTATTATCCAACATGGTTGCCTTGTCATGTGGTTGCAAGAAATGCTTTGACTACATGCCTGGCAGCCGGAAAGGGTCACAGGATAGTTGGTCGTAAAACACTTTCTACAGAGGCATCTGAAAAGGAAATACTTCAGCAAGGAATTGTTGACGGATTTTTGTAGTCGTTCTTTTTCTCTTGATAAGTTTTCTTGTGGACTCAAAATCAAGTTGATTGAGAAGGCATACATGATGCTTTTTTGCTTTTGTAATAGTCTGCAATTTATATTTTTTTAGGAGAACCCATCAAAGTGGACATCACAAGGTACTGGGCAGTGCCCCAGGGGTTGAGGATACACTTATTCTAATGCATGGAAGCCAAAAATTTGCCCAAAGTGTGGTTTTGAAATTGGGGGGAAGCACTCGCAGCCAAAAGGGAAGAAGCTGAAATTGTAGACACAGACTTGCCAAGCTGTGTTCTTATAGTTGAATCATCGCAACTCAAGTTATATTCTGTTCAAATTAATTCCAAACACAATAGAGTGTTTGTAGTACAATCCAACTCAGATTTTGTTTGTCACTCCGAGAAATGCAAAGAACAAAGGGCAGTTCATGTTGCGAACGGCATTCCCTTTTCTTGTTAACATTGCAATCTGTTAAAGTCATTTTCCTCACTAACTTTGGCCAAGAACCTACATGAAGATGACATCAAAAGTTACGATGTTGATCGATGCTTTTCAACCTCCTGGAGATTTTAGGCATGTTGTTGAAATTTCTCAAAGTTGTTATGCTGTGTATCATGGTGCTTCCCAGGGCCCATCTAACCCCACGGGGTATTGTCATGTGCAGAAGAGAGATGGACTTTTCCGCTGCACAAACAAGAGCTATTCAAAAAAAGTGGCAACAGTATATAAACAGTTTAAGTTGAGAACCATTTGCCCCCATCTGCATTTTCTTTTTTGTGTTTTGAAAATGTCTTCGGACTCAGGTCCAGTTAATACTGTATCTCCATCAACATCTGGTGAATCCAGTTCAGCCACATCCACAACAGTAACTGCTGAGCAAGAGGTCAGTGTTAGCAGAGGATCAACAATCAAGCCTGACACGAGGAGGGTAATTCCATACCCAATACCTCAAGATATGCTTTCTGCATGTCAAAGCTTGAGAGATGTTCCTCAACGCTTTATGCCATCCAGCAAAGAGTGTGAACTTTGTGGGAGTCCTCTTTTGGATTGCAGAAGGCATCCTGGTCAAGGACAAAAGGATTTGTCGTACCTGATCATTCCAGTGATTTTTATTTCAGTTGAAATTAAGGTCAAATTCTGCTCAAACAAGAGCTTTTCAACATTTAATTTGTGACAAGATGATTGTTGCTGTAGTGGTCCTTGAACATTGGAGGCAGCTTTTCCGACGTGGAGTTCCTCTGAGTGTGGCTATCGAAAGTAATCTTAGTGTCTGGAAGAGGTGTGGAGAGGTAATGGATTTTCTTGTTTTGTTTGAAATACAACAAACGTAAGAGACAGTTATTAGTTGACACCTTTATTTGGTGTAATGTTCTTTTTCTCGAAAGGGATTGTAGACTTTTCACTTGTTTATTTTATAATTTTTTTTTCTAAAATGTATCTTTATGAATATAATGCTTCAAAATTGAATTTCTATTTGTTTTGTTTCACTCATATGGAGAAGTATGTTTTTAAACTTTCAGTGTAATCATGTTACAGTTAAGTAATGATCCGGGTGAGGTGGATAGCAATTTCTTTTGTTATGCGGCAACGGTGCTTTCCCCATATAGGAATGTTCTCATTTTTACGCAGAGAATGCATAAACCTACATGAAGGCCGTTTACGCAATAAAATGGATTTACACTCCACTTTGAAAGGGTGTTTTTTTGTGTTAAAAGATTTTGACCAATCACAAGAGTTGAAAACGATAGCCAAGAAAAGTTTACAATTTTATATGTTCCCCACATAGGATTTCTTTGTTATTCAAACTGAGACCAGATTTTGTTATATGGAAGATGGTTGGAAAGTAGGGATGAAAATATGTACCGCTTTATGAAGTTTTGTTAACTTTTGCTGTTTAATGCCAATCAGAAGTAAGTACAGACAATAGAAAAGTTAGCACCTTTTCTGCATTCCAACATGTTTTTTGCCGTTGTTGCTATCGTTCTTATCTGAACCGTTTCTTAATCGTTGAGGGCTGTCATCAAGAGCCTGGGACTACGGATTTCCTGCAGATGCTTTAATGGAAAAATCCTCAGCTGTTTATTCCTCACCTACTTGTTCTATTTTTCTGGCTACTTGAAATCTTAGTGACATCCATGTTTAATGTTTGTCCTTTTCATTCATAGGGTGAGCTCAGCGATAATGACCTGAGATATCTCAGTGCCTTATTGTATAATGGGTTTTATATGTATGAACTTCTATCCGAACGGTCCCAAGACAGTGTGATATGCGGTATATGTGGAGTGATTGGTCAAGTCCATTTCGGAGATGGTATTGAAAAAAATTGTTGCAGTGTTGAAATGGTAAGTGCACTAAATGACAACCATTATGTGAGATGTTGTTGTTGTAAGGGAAGCAGTTGTTGGATTTAAATGCCACCTCTCTTTGCTTTGCCAGAAGGTGAGCTGTCATAAACAGTATACACTGTAGGTTGTAAGTCTACAGTTAAACATCCTCCTAAATTGTTTTTCCCACGCTTTTTGACTAAGAAATTGAAACTCATATACTTGCTGTGGTGCATACTGAAATAGTTTATCGCTAAATTAAAGGAAGGTGCAGTGTATTGTGATGAAAATAGAAAACATTCCCTGGAAAAAATTGCTACAGTCACATGTTAAAAACCGTAGGCTTGTTATTTGTTTAGCAAGTTTTAAATTTTCCAGGTTGATTATACAAAGGCAAATAATTCAGAGGGAGGAGGTCAACCACCGTCACTGGAGAAGTGTCTGCATCAAATGAAGGGTGTGTTTGTGGAGAGATTGATCTATGCAAATTTGAAGCAAGACATTTCAGTTATTGCTGAAATTGTACTAAAATTATTGCAACTTCATTTCGAGCTGATAGGGTGTTTAACACTGAGATGGAGAAAAAGAGTGTATACTTGGAAGGGGAAATTCTGTGAGAAGGATCATATTAATGGTAAGAACATTGTATGTCTACTTATGCAATGTCATTCACACGTTTCTTTTTTCATGAAAAATGTTTCAGTTGTGATTATACTTTTATAAGAAAAAAACATCAGGTAAATAGTTATAGACCTTTCACAATTATTATTAATTAATTTCTCTTCATAATGACTTTTCATATAAATGTCTGGTAGATTGACAACAGACTAATTTTATATCACCTTGCTACATATCCATATATTTTTCGGCCCTGTGGTTCATTTCTTGAAAGTTGTGAATCATTCTCAATATGCTATCATTGTCTTTTCCGATCTTTGTTGGTTTTTATTAAGGGACCCAATGTTTTTGCACCACATGATTAAAACTAAACCATTGGACATGGCTTCATTGGAATCCTATTCTCAACAAGAACTCGGGGCCATCTGCAGGGAATGCAAAATTGACAAAATTGCAAAGTTGTCAAAGGTACCCGCTCTTCTCCCTTTAACTTGTTCCTATATTCCATTAAATTTTTATTGTTAATATCAGTCAGGGAATTTCTTCTACTATTACTTCCAACTACATTACCAAAAATAAAGATCACAGACTTAGTTAACTTCTTGAAATGTATGGTAATGTATAAATGGATAGAGATATTAAGTAAGTTTGTACTGGAGTCAGAACTCAAACCAGTACTCACTCAATGAATCTTCATTTTCCTCAGCTCCAGTTACGATTTGGAAGCTGTTATTAACATGTAGTCGGGTTACTCTGATTGGTAGATGTGAATATCTCAAAATATATTATTGTTGCCGGTATTTTATATTTTCAGTTTTCTAGGTTGCACACTAATGTCTGTCATAGTGCAGGACTAGGGTACAGCTGTATGTTGCTTCCCCACCCCCCGCCCCCTTCCCCTTAATTAAGAAATTAACTTGAAAGTCTCAATCCCAAAATTTTAATCTTTTGGTAAAATGCGACCCCATTATAGTCAATCCAGTCGTGAAAATGCGACCCCATCCAGCGGCACATCCCCATTAGCCTCTTGTAAGGAAGTACCCTCCCCGGAATGGACATCCATGTAATAGTCAATTGACAGCTGTCAACTATCCACTGACCAGTGTCACATGACTGTATTGCAGCCTGGTCAAGTGTACAACTCATTGAAGTGATGTGTTTTTTTTTACAGTTATCCAGCTGTTGGTTTTAATTGATTGCAGGCTCAGGTCCATAATGAAAAAACCTTATAGTAAATAACTTATTTTGGTACCTTCAGTCATTACAGGGAAATGTCTGACCTAAGTCTGAGATTTCCCTGTAATGACCGAATGGACAAGGTTAATAAGTGGTAGTTATTGACTCTGGGGGGAAGTCAGCCCTCCAGGGTAAAAAAAGGCCCCTGGGCCTATTATTATGTTGAACTGCATTCAGCCTCAGAACTCGGACTTCAGCCAGAACGGGACTCCTAGGTCTCACTGCGGGTAAAAGCGAGCGCGCATCTAGCTTTCTTTGTAGCACATGCAAATTTTCAAATTTGTGCGTTGTTGTCAATGGTATGGGATGCTTGTAACGGCCATTCACGCTGATGAAGCCCAGTAAAGTTGGTCAAAATAGGTGAAGGATGAAAAAAACATACTGTTTTGCTCTTCATTTGTGGTACTGGATTTATTCAATTATGAAGAGAATGTCTTTTAGTAAAGGCTTGTGATATGTTATATGTATGGTAACATGTAGTAACTCTTTACGTGTCATAAGATTATTATTAGGTAACAACTCATGGATCTAAATATATTTCCATTGTAATTTTATGACCTATTTTAGGTAAACCTGATTATCACAAGCGACCATGGCATGGCAGATGTCAACAACTCCAGCTGGATTATTACATAATTTCCATCAGACTGGTATACACTCATCACTGATCCAAACAGGGCAGACCATGCTTCTAATGTGTTTTTTCATATTCTACCCAAGAAAGGAAAGTTGAATGACACTTACCAAAAGCTCAAGACTGTTCCACATCTATATACATACCTTAAAGAAGAAATACCTGAAGAGTTTCATTACAGGCATAACCAACGTGTCATGCCAATTTTCATTGTCGTGGAAGAAGGATTACAAAATAGCTTCAAGTTGAACTAAATATGTCTCCCAGTCAAGAATTATTCTGTTACAGAGAACAAATCATTTGAAAAACTGTTCTTTTAAAGTTTTGAGCTGTTATTTTGATGTCTCACTCAATTGATTGTTAATTATTATTTTATTGCTGATTGGCCAGAAAAAATCTGACGCAGGCAATTCAAACGCTTCTGGAACTGTTTCGGTAAGAGACAGTGCTCAGGGCTCTTCTTGATCTTATAGTAAACTTTCACTGCGAACGTTCTCTCGCCCCGACTAGCTGCCCTTGGGTCTCAGAGGATGACTTATTGACGGACTCAAGCAATACTAACTACGAAAGAATAACTGGACAACCAACAATTTGACCAACAAATAAACGACTGTTTAACTGAGACAATAGATCGAAACGCACCAATGACATTACGAGTCTTCATAGCCAATAAAATCACAGCTTAACAGACAGAGGACCAATAACATCGCGACTTAATTGACCCAATCAGGTCAATGACTAGAGGTAACTTGATACAACTCACTTTGACTCTGAAGATGACTACCGCACTGGTTGTCGAAACGTCAGTCACTGTCAACAACAACAGTCCTATATTCAGGACTACGTTCACACGGACGATCATACTCAACTTACTTATCAAATAACTCCTGGGTTCCAACCTTTAACAAAAAAGCCATTGTTTAATTGGTCAATGCAATCCATCAGGTTAAAGAGAAATAAGATTCACACTTCCAATAATTATTTTCCGTTGTGGGGCCAGAACAAGGATCTTGGCACAAAGGAAACTGTCCTCAGTTGCAAATAGTCCAAATACGAACAGTTCTAATAAACAACAGTCATATGTAACGTTTTACCTTTGCTTTATTGAAAACCACTAGAACAACATTGCACACTGACTGCTAAAATAGTTATTTACTGAGCATTTTTTAACAGCTTAAGTTAACAATTGTGCCTTTTTTTGCTTCTTTGTCAATTGACTTTTTTGACATTATTTTTTACTAAAACCTCCTTTTTCTCTTCCTCTAAGATCTCTAATAGTTGTAGGGATGGCGAATGAGGTAAATTTATAAGTACTTAGCTGACGGCATGTCCGCTTTAATTGAATACTTTGAAAATAGATATGTTCTCCACGTAATACTGAGTACCAAGTTCGAAGATAGAGAAAACCAGGCCTTACGTACAATAACAAAAAGGATTCATTTGCCACCCCGTTTTTGGAAATATACACTATGACTACTTTGCAAAAGAATAATTACTAACAATATTAATAAGTCAAATCAGACTAGACAGCCCATCAAGTTAGGGCTAAAACAAAAATTTCCTTACACGGTAAGGTGTATGCAAACATTAAATAGGTCCCTCATAGCGATGCTGTTGCAAGAAAATAGTACACACGTCTTTTAGTATACGCATGTGAAGTATTGAACTGCGCGTTTTTTTTACGTTGTCACCGAGGTCCTCAGTATCAATACCTCGGACTTTGCTTTGCCCCGGTAAATCCATGTAACTCTCATTTCCAGACAGTAATAGTTACTTTTTCCTTTTACCCTCCTCATCTGTACCCCTCTTTACCACCCTCGATTCTTGAACACAGGTGGATGGGTGAGGGCAATCATAATTTTAAACGTCGATTCTTGAGCACAGGTGGATGGGTGAGGGCAATCATAATTTTAAACAGTCAGCATTTTTCGAGGAATAATGAATATCCGAGATCGAATTGTTCCTCTTGCACTCGCGGCGCGGGACACAGTCGATGATGGTTCGATCCATCTTTATATATTTCCATTCCGAAAGGAAAGCAGCGTATCTAAGGCAAGCTCAGGGGCACCCAACGGCAAGTTTCGGAAAATATCTGTTCGGAAGACGATTTGAGAATTTTCGGAACATTTGTTGTAAAATTTCTTGCTTGCCTGCCTCTCCTAGGATTTTCGAACATCTAAAAAATGGTATAATTACCCATTTTTAACAGATGTTTACCCTAAAAAAGGCCACCTAGAATTTTCGGGAGTCTTTTCCTGGCTGAAATTTTCGAAAAGGTAAGTTTTGATCCCTATAATTTTCGAATCACTAGACTTTCAGCTAGGAAATCCGAACAGATGAAAAGTTTTTAGGGGATAAAAATATGCCTATATCTACCGTTTAAATACTAAAATACGTTCAACAATGCTATGTTAAGTGGTTTTGAACTACTTCCTCGTTGGGTGCCCCTGCAAGCTATACACTACCTGAGTATACCAAAAAGAGTAATAAAAATGATAAGGCGATTACGTACCAAAGCTTCACCCAAAGCGTTTCACTGGCTATTCAGTTTTGCTTAGTGTTCGCGACTAGACTCTAAAAGCTGGACAATGGGGTGACATGGCTCTTGGGTGTGATCAAAGCATACTGAGCTAATGGTTTTAAACCAAAGGGACAAGATGAGCTCCGAGCTCGTTCACCACATTAGAGTGCAAAATATAAAAATAATGGAAATTTTAAAAGTATATATAAGTTGACTATATTGGGTTACAAAAAGCTTAGGGGATTTTATCAATTTCCACTTTAATCATTACCGAGTCTTCTCTTGAGTACCGCTGAGTACAAACCATTTCGATGGGTGCAAACTCTGCGAAGCCGTAAAGGGTGCCGTTTTCTCCGGCAAATGGCTTCTGAAAAGCTCTCTGATTACCTTTGGTAGCAAAAGTACCAGTGATGTGGTTGTGGAAACCGTCGGCAACATCACTTTGATCAAGTATGGTGAAAGAGAAGCTTCCCATGAAGGGCCAGGAAAGGATATTATCAAACTTGCCCCGGTTTGTGCGAACAAAGAGACTGATGTGCTCTCTGTCCCCACCGTTCACGCCCAGTGGAAAAATGATTAAGGAAAACTGGTATCCAAACGGACCAGTGGAAAATGGAAGACTCT